GGACAGCGACAGCGGGATGGGGACAGTGACATTAAGGCCTGGCCAGGCCACTGGCGCAGGGACAAGGACACGGGGACACCGGGGTTTGGGGACACCAGGACTGGGGACACCGGGGTTTGGGGACACCGGGGTTTGGGGACATCGGGGTTTGTGGCCGTGACAATCCCGGGCCCGGTGGCGCGGCTGGCACGGGGCCACGGCCGTGGGGACACGCGGGGGACACGCGTGACAGGCTGGGGACACGCAAGGGACACGCGTGACACGCTCGGGACGTGCGTGACAAGCCTGGGGACACCGAGGGGGCACCGAGGGGACACCTCGGGGACACGTTTGGGGACACGTTTGGGGACACACGCGCGGCCCCCGGTGACGCAGCAGCCGCGTCACGGCCGGGGGGGCGACGGAATTGGGGGGAAATGCGGGGGAATTGGGAAAAATGGGGGGAAAATGGGAAAAATGCGGGGAAATTGGGGAGAAAATCCCGGGAAAATTGGGGGAAAATCCCGGGAAAAAATTGGGGGGAAATCCCGGGAAAAAAAATGGGGGAAAAAATTGGGGAGAAATGAGGGGAAATTGGGAAAAATGAGGGAAAAAATGGAGAAAATCGAGGGGAAAATGGGGAAAAATGAGGGGAAATTGGGGAAAAAATCCCGAGAATATTGGGGGGAAAATCCCCGAAAAATTGGGGGAAAATTGGGGGGAAATGCAAGGAAATTGGGAAAAATGCGGGAAAAATGGGAAAAAATGAGGGGGGAAAATGGGGAAAAATGAGGGGAAAATGGGAAAAAAATCCCGGGAAAATTGGGGGGAAATGCGGGGAAATTGGGAAAAAAATCCCGGAAAATTGGGGTGAAATGCGGGAAAAAAACTGGGGAGAAATGCAGGGGAATTGGGAAAAAATTGGGGGGAAAGGAAGCGGGGAGAAATGCGGGGAAATTGAGGGAAAAAAATCCCGGAAAATTGGGAAAAATGTGGGAAAATTGGGGGGAAAGTCCGGGGAAATTGGGAAAAATAAGGGGGAAAATGGGAAAAAAATCCCGGGGAAATTGGGGAGAAATCCAGAGAAATTGGGGGGAAAATCCCCGAAAAACTGGGGGGAAATTGTGGGGAAAAAATCCTGAGAAATTGGGGGGGAAATCCGGGGAAACTGGGGGAAAAATCCCAGGAAAATGGGGAAAAAAACTGGGGAGAAATGTGGGGAAATTGGGGAAAAATTCCCGGAAAAATTCGCGGGGAAATTGGGGGGAAATCCCAAGAAATTGGGGAGAAATCCAGGGAAAGAAATTGCGGGAAAATCCGTGAAAAAATCGGGGAAAATTCCCCCAAAATTGGGGAAAAATGCTGGAAAAATCGGGGAGAAATCCCACAAAAAACCTAGGGACAAATCCCCGGAAATTGGGGGAAAATCCGAGAAAAAAAAACTGGGGAGAAATCCGGGGAAATCGGGGAAAAATCTGGGGGAAAAACTGGGGGGAAATTCCCGGGAAATTGGAAAAAAAAAAAAAAAAAACCCACGGAAAAAATTGGGATAATTACCCCAAAACCGAGGGAAAATCTGGGGCGAAATTGGGGGGAAAATCCCCCAAAACTGGGGAGAAATCTGGGGGGAAAAAATTGAGCAAAAAATTCAGGGGAAAATTGGGGGGAAATCTGTGAAAATCGGGGAAAAATCTGGGAAAAACTGGGGAGAATTTGGGGGGGGTCCCGTATTTATTTTGGGGGTATTTCCCCGTGTTTATTTATTTTTGGGGGGGTCCCATGTTTATTTTTTGGGGGTCCCGTGGTTTTTGTTTTTTTTTTTTTTGATGTTTTCCGTGTTTATTTTTTTTTGGGGGGGGTCCCCGGGTTATTTTTGGGGGGCTTTCCCGTGTTTATTTATTTTTGGATGTGTATTTTTTTGGGGGGTCCCGAGTTATTTTTTGATGTTTCCCGTGTTTATTTATTTTTTGGGGGTCCCGTGTTTATTTATTTTTTTAATGTTTCCCGTATTTATTTATTTTTTTTGGGGGGGGTCCCCGGTTATTTTTGGGGGGGTTTCCCCCCTCCGGAGCCGCCCGCGCGGAGTCCCCGCTGACGTCACGTCTGGTTGCCACGGCAACGCCCGAAATCCGGCGACCTTGACGGGGGGAGCTCGCTCCCGAGCTCATTTGCATCTCATTTGCATCTCATTTGCATCGCGATCCTCCGGCGCCCCCCGGCGGCGAACGCGGGAATTGCAATTTTTTTTTTTTTTTTTAAGGACCCCGGGAT